CCCCAAAACCCCAAAACCCCAAAACCCCAAAACCCCACGATGAAAGTTGGTTAGCATATACTCAGCATTTTGATAAAATTTAATTGAATTTGCATTAATTTTTATGAATATATTTTATAGACACATTCTCTTTTTTTCTTTAAAGGAATGAAGAAGGTTGTGATCCATATATATTTATTAAATCATAAGCTTTATTATTTACTAACTGACAATCATCGATACAAATAGAGTTCTGGCGGCCAGTCGGGAGTATATTATAGGGAGGTAGGTACAGACATTAAATGATATCTCTCATTTGCCTTCAACAGCTGCCAGTTGCTGTCCTTTTCATTATTATTGTAAATCTATCTAGACACCTGTGTTCATTGCCTCAGATTGACTTAGCAAATGCTTTAGTTGTAGCATTTCATCCTATTGGCCTATGAATTGACCATTCATGAGACTACTCTGCTTGTTAAGTGTAACTCCAGCGAAATTTTAGTTTCCTTGCATCAAAGTCTCAGATTAATAGGCTCTAAGTTATTTAGGCAGGCTTCGAGTAATCTTTTCAACCTTGAAGCAGGGTAGGTTTTACTTTTCAATTAGAATCGGATCATAGTAATAGCCATTCAAAATGGAGGACTATTACTTTTTTGTTTAGCTAGATCTGTATCCCTTAGTGTTTGCGGAGTTTTATGATAGCATATCATAGAAAGTGCTCTTTTGAGGAATGTTTCCTTTGAATTTCACAATTTATTAGCTTTGGATCTGAGGCTAAGGAATGGACTAAATCAAGTAATTCTTCTCAATAAATTATTGGTCTTCTTTGACTTTTCCGTCATTCATAGTTTCTAGACTTTGGTTTGTCTTTTTATACTAGGCTGCATAATTTATTTATGCATCTTGATTTATTTATTATTGTGTTGTGAAAGTTTGAGAAGTTGTTTATATTTTGTTGAATAAGTTACCCTGAGGGTTTAAATTCAATGGAATCATGCTAGGATGATGCAAAAGCTCTGGGTTGTTGGGATTGAAGCCTGGGATTTATGATGAAGTAATATGAGTGGTGGGTCCTCTTGAACTCATTATACCAGCAGTTTGACTAGCAGTGCTCTATAATGTTGTAGTCAAAGGATATGTTTGACCGTTAGGTTAAGCAGCTACTGTTGCTTATTAGAGTAACTGATTTGTGTTGGCTTCTTGGTCTCCAAGCAAGAGTAAAAATTATGGAGACAAGTAAAAGTTTTGGCTAATGCTTATTTGTTGATTGACATTACTAGCATTTTGGGGAGAGAACTGAAAGATCGGCATGTTGTTTGGTAGGTTAAGATTTGTTGATGACTTAATTTGCCCATTTTAGTTTCCTCCCTATGTGTTGTTGATTAATTCATTCTAGGCATTGTCTAAGATTGTTTTAATCTAGATAGGCTCCTCGTCAGGAATTATCTTTATTTAGTGTTGCTTTTTCACATCTCTCTTTCTACCGTTGGCTTAAGTAGCTACTACTTAAACCCCAGCTGTCACCTTCTTTTCTTACTTAGTTACTTACTTTGTCCTTCGGACTTGGGCCTGAGATGTAGGTCCATTTTTATTGTTATTTTAGTCAATCATGTTACCCCCTTGGATTTAATTGTTGCCTAATTAGTCACCTTCTTGAGCTTAAAGCTGCTCATGTCTTACAACTTATTCAATTAACTGATCAACTTGCTTTCTCTTGAGTGCTGCACGCTTCCCTATATCTACCGGTTAGGCAACGTTGTTATTCATTTGAATTTGATTTATTCTCAAGCCATTTTATTAATCTTGAGGTTGAGATATGCAATCAGTTTTTCTTTGTTACACGCTAGTAGTAAAAAATTACTGAGTTAAGTTATTCTATAAATTGCATCCCTGGATAACTTGCCCATTTTAATTGAGGGTTCCATTCACAAGATGATGAGGAGAAGCTTTTGGGAATGCTCCATCATCTAGGATTGACTAATTATTTTAGGGAGTCAAAGGTGTGATTAAATGCTATTATTGCATCATGGAAGCAGCATTTATGTGAGAAATTCTGTGATGATTTTGAGGTCTCTCAGGTGTCTAAAATTCTTGAATTTAATTTTAATGTGATTGCTATTATTGCTGTTATTAGTTGTTTGTGTTTGCAGCATTATTCTAGCTATACTATAAAGCTTTAGCATATTAGTGACCATGATACACTGTGAAAGGAGGTTATTGCTATTACTGTAAGTAAATTTATGATATGGCTCCTCCATTGACCCTTTATGCATTTATAAAAGCTTAAGTAGCTACTTAGCTTATATAGTTGCTCGGGATTTCTGTGTTTCTCTCCAGAATATTTTTGAGTTGATTTCTAATGAACTTATAGTCTGGAATATCTTTGTAACTCAAGTCTTTGAGGTGGTAGAAGATGTTTTTGACTTCTGGACAGTCTTTTGTAGCAATCCAAAGTTTTTCCTCAGGATTATTCAGGCATTCTGTCTTGATATTTTTAACCTCCTCCATGGAATACTCCTTCTGTTCTCTCCATTTAAGTTTCTCATTTAGAAAGTCTAAGATTACGAAATAAAGACTCCATAAATCATCCCTTCTTGAAAGATCCTATATTCATGGTCATTAGTAAGTAAATTAATATGAGATTAGGAAAAGTTATGAGCAAATCATTGGGGTAAAACAAAAGTAACTTACAATATTATTGTGAGCATTTAGGGAAGCGAATGAAACTGTGCCTCTGAAGTCCGCCTTTCGACGTTAAGGCATTGGTACTTTATTATCATCTAAGTGCTTCTTAGCAAGACCAAAGTCAACAATATAAACATGCTTATTGTCTCTGGATAGCACAAAATTTGACTATAGATATTAGAGATTAATTTTTTTGTTTGAATTCTATATCATGACTTACAGCTTTGACATCCCGATGAATGAATCCTCTATCATGAACCTCTTCAATTGCATCTAGCATCTCAATCTAAGAGAAATAAGATGAATTTTATATTGTTACTAGAAGTTGTATAGCGATTTTGAGACTGTAGTTTTCATCGAGACATTTTCTAACTTTTGCTAAGTTATTACCTATAATATTTTAAGATTAGAAATGAAACAAACCTAGAAGATCCATAACAATAAGATTTTGTTCTGAATTTTTCACGAAATCATATGCATTGCACACATGCCCCAAACCTATATAAAAATACTTCATCACTCAAATATCAATTACCCTTAAGCATGTTCAAGACACTAAACTCAAATATCAGAATATTTTTATTTTTGTCTTTTTTCTCAATCTTGAGTGCGACATTCTATTTCAATGTTTTATCGAAGGCCTCGTATATATAACCTAAAGAAAGTATTGGATGATGTATATTAAGGCAAGGTAGGAACTTACTGAAGGTGCCTTATCCTAATTTCTTGCCGATGTTAAATCTATCTGAGATATTGTTCATTCACACTATATTGGTGACTCAGACGCAAAAATAATAATACGTAGTGGGAAAGAGTCTCTCTAAACTTGCTTTTAAACTAATTATTATAATTTGCAAAGTACTCATTAAAATATACAATCTGAAAATCTTAGACTATTAACCCTCTTTAAATATTATAAATTAAATTAATTAACTATTGAAATAATGAAGCTAGTTATCTCTTCCTAACAAAACACTCCTCTGATAGAATCAGTGGTATACATCTCATCCCAATAAGACTTAAACTAAATTCTTGGTTTATTTTAAGCTAATTCCTTCGATGTAATAGAATCTGATGAGATGCAGTTAGCTAATAGCACTAATATTCATGATAAGGAATTTTGGAAACTTCTATTCTCAGCCTTAAAACAAAATGGAGATTTGAATCTCGATTTCGATGGTAAAGATGGTCAAAATATGAGATTAGGATTCGACACAAGTCTGATCTTATCATTAATGAAACTCAACGGTTTTACAAATGTTCATGTCAGCGACTGTGTTATTTAGGCTAAAAAACCTTAATGGTAGGCTGCAGGAGCTCCTTTAAAGAGAAAGCAACAGTAAAGTGTCAGTAGCAATGAAACCCATTCTACCTCATAATTGAACGGTTCACAATAGTAATAAACAAACGCTAATCCCTGGGCTTCTCTACAGTCAAATGTAAGTTTCCAGCATTTCATCTCATCTTTATTAGAATGCTGGTCTTATCAACGAAGATGAATTGATGAAGGATGTTTCAGAGACTAAAGATTCCTCAGCTTTTCAAAAATTCTGCGGAGAGGATGATAAAATTAAGGCTGGAAAACCTTGTGAAAATTGTACTTGTGGAAGAAAAGAGTAAGTAGATTATTTATATTAATTCATTTAGACTTGAAGAGGGCAAAATAACTGAAAAAGATCTTGAGGTCGGCAATGTTGAGTCAAGCTGTGGTAAATGCTATTTGGGAGATGCCTTCAGATGTGCATCATGTCCTTATTCAGGATAGCCAGCATTTGAAGCAGGAGATAAGGTTAAACTAAAAAATGCTACCAATAGTTAGCAACAAGTTGAAAGAGAATAGATTCAGGTGAAAGCAAACGCTGGTGGAAAAGTTGTTTTAGATTTGTGAATTTAGAAGTCAAATATAAGAGTTTAATTTAAAAAAGTTTTTGAGAAGAATTTTTATTTAAATTAAGTGTACATTTATGGTTTTGTTTTATGGAACTTATGGTTACAAATTTTGTCTCATCATATCATAGCCTATTGCATATGCTTTGTGTCTTGACTAGTCCTAGATAAATTTGTTAATCATCTCATTTTTAATGAAATATTTTAGAAGAATTGGGTGAATAATGATCAGTACTTCTTAGAGGACATATTTAAAATTCAACACTTTAGTTCAGTGGATTGACAGAACATCATTAAATTATTCACCTTCCTCATTTCAATAAGGAAGTTTTTGACTTACCTCTTTTAGAGAGACAAGTTTTAGATTTCTTTTTAGAAAGCTGAACTTTCCTGCTAGGAATGAGTCTGCTCACAATCTCTGAAAAATTATGAGTATCACAGCATTAGGTGATAAGATGGTTGTGTGAGTGTTTCAGTATTAAAAAGCTCGATGTTTTTGTTCATCAAATGAATTATGTAGTTTAATATCATTTGCTTCATCGTCACTCAAAATCTCTTTTTAGAGACTTACCTAAACTTATTAGTTAAGTACAATGTTTTTGGTTATTATTTTTGGGCAAAGGGATAATGAGTAGTATTAATGAAAGTTTCAGAAGGAAGGCAACAGAAGTATTTTCATATTGAAATCAAATAGAGCTAATACGTCTGTGTCAATCATCATCGAGAGTTACACAGCCAAGTAATCCACTTCATTAATACATACTTACCCATCCAAAAGCCCAAGATGTTTAATATTAATTTTTAATATACTTACCTTTTATTAAATTAGTATTAAAAGGTGGCCTGAAGGCCCTCAATTAAAACGAATCTTTATTCTTGAGCGCAAACTAAACTTATACGTAAGTACATTTGCAAAAATATTTTAAGAAGGGATTTTGAATTTTTATATGATCAGGGTATATATAATATCGACATCGAGCTTTGTCTCCGAGTGAGCTGGATATACAAGTGTCATCATTTGATTGAGAGAGTTAGTCTCATTTTTATTGGGTTGTGACTTACCTTGAGTTTGGCTCAAAAATACATATTTAGTAGTATTATTTATTAATTATTAATCTCAACCACTTCTTCTATTTATTATGCAGCAAGGGGTTTTGGGGTTTTGGGGTTTTGGGGTTTTGGGGTTTTGGGG